TGATTTATTGGATCATCATTCAGTAATTAATCGATTAAACGTTTTTGATGCATTATATTTTATTATCATTATGTATTTATTTTATACCGTTGAGATGATTTAGGACCGGCACCCCCGTTAAATCCGTTGCTGTACACATGCACGGTTCGCCGTGTAAACTGTTGCGGTGTAGTGTTATATAGCTTGCGTTTCTAACACATTTCCGTCATTCCAGCCGTCGTATAATTCACATTGATATTATCGTCCTTCGAATAAGCTCTGAATTATTTATCGGACCGCCGTTGCCGCATGTGAATATACGTTTGTAAAATAATATCTGCACACAGAGTAGTACGCACGTTCGACGATATTATATATATATTTGTTTAGGTGCCCCGAAAATGTGTTTTTTTCGGCGCTCCCCGCGCACCCACATCTTTCCACCCGCGCGTTAGCGATATAATGTCGCGCACGGCGCTCACGTTCACGTCACAGATTTCTCGTCATCCGATTAAGTGTAACAGTATTACAATGTGTAATTTAACAATGCGCACATCGTATGCAATGACGTTCCCGCGCGCGTTTAACGCCTACGGCTGACAACGAAGACGAGCACGAATAAAATTATAAACGTTCGCACATGTGTTTATATGTATTATTGTATAGCGTGTTTTCAGAAGTAGCCTTGTGCTATGTGATCCCTTCAACAGGTACACGGTCTTACTGAGAGCGATTTATTATTTCTATAATTGATTCGAAACGATATTAAGCAGGCGAACAGACGGTTCCATAGTGCGCGTTTGGTGTTTTGCCTTTTGAGCGGAACGCTTTTATAGAAGAAAAAGTCTGAGACTCGATGAATTATCGAAAAACGCGAAATCGTTGGTTCTAGTCGCTAAAATGCTTCGTGGAAACACGAATCGTTTTTAGTGACGTCGAAACCGCGAAAAGCGTTTGTCGTTGTGCGGGGGAGTCGATTTGTATAATGTTGAAAATCTGACGTTATAAACGCCCACATGCACTCGCGTATAGACAGAAAGGGGCTGAACCGGATTTGAAACATTCTTTTGACGATACGAATGATATACGTATAATAATATAATATATTGTTTCTCAGTTTTGTCGTTTTATATCAAAAATACATTGCTCATATTTATAATTTTTTCAACCAACTGAATTGCTAGGTCGTTGACATGTTTCTATAAATTTACTGGCCGAGAAAATTATCGTATTGAAAAAATTTGCATACTATGTATATAAAATAATGAGTGATCCCGTTTTCAGGGCACGAGAACGATGTGTTACGAAATTATTACATTTTTTTTTTTTTTAAATAGTATTCTATTTTATATATACACACATACACACATAGTAACAGTGTCAACCTAAACGTTGATAAATAAACTAATAAATTTATCCATTTATTATATACACACTAATTACCATACATATAATATTGCTGTTAAACTTAATAACCATAAACTCATAAAAAATATAACAATTTTAACCCTATACATGTATATTTAAGCGAAAATTTATATTTTATATCTAAGAATAATATTATTCCTATCAGTTCAAAGAGCACTGTTATTATGATTAGTGAATCGGTGTAGTAACTTTCCATATTTTCGAAATCCCTATAAAAGTGTCTCTCGAAGCCAATATCAATAGTAATTCGTTAAAAATTGAGCACAAAATAATATTATGTTGTTTATGGAAGTGGAATATATAATACAGCTATATACATATAAAACGTCATAACTGTCTTTTATCAATTATATATATATATATATGAGTGTATATAATGAGACAATATCGACATAAGCCATAACGCGTGCGTGGTTAACTAGGATTTTTGCATTTATAATAAACGCCGTTGCCGTTACTATTTGAAGGTAACTGTAATAACAGTCTCCGTCCGCGACTGTACGCCATTTATTATATATAGCTATAGGGAATAAGCGATATACAGTGTGTGCCAGCCGCGTCCTAGAGAAAGGCAGAAAACCGGTTAATCGAGTGAATATTTGGCAAGGGCGTAGCTTGGAGTCGTATACAATAATTTCATATACGTCGTTCTACGCGTGTACATATATATATATACCTATAGATATGAAATGTATTCAACAATAGTGGGCGTGCGCTGATACATAGTTCTTATTGCTCTCGGTGCGTGTATACACCGCGGTGGCGGAGCTCTCTGTGAAAGTATATGCGCACAACAATATAATATCGAACGAGAATACACGCAATACTGTACACGAATTGTGTCCGTGCACCAAAAAACGCGTTGTTCATGCGAGCAGGGTGTACATCGTCGCGTTTATGTACCCGGGTACGCGCGAAAAGAGAGTACAGAGAGAAAGGCCGACACTACACGCGGATGCATATTACACAAATGCGTTTAAAATATTTACGGTCTCCGGTTCCGCTTTTTTCGACGCGCCGCACTGTGTTATAAAGATCGCAGTAAATCGAAATCGTGCACCCCGAATATAATACGCTTCATGATTTGTCCATATATTATTCATACATCTATATTATCTTCAAACTGATGCACCGTAGCGTTATTATTATTCCATCTGGTACAATTACAATATTATCAATTATTATGGACGGTTTCCAAGCTTCGGTCTGTTCTTGTCGTCCGATTGAGTGCACGTATAGTGTCTGTTCAGACCTTAAAATACAGTTTACGTGTCGATCTTATAGGTATCTACGTATAGGTATACACTTCAGCGTGTGTGTATAGATTATGTAATTAATAAGTTTTTTACGACAAACAACAGTTTTTTCCTTCTATGTATATATATACAACAATAAAATTATGTGTTTTTCGAGTATTCGAAGAAAGGGTTTTGCTTAGAACCGGGTCCTTATGATTTAATGGGTATAATCTCAAGTTTTAATACTTTTAGATTAATACTACTACTGCAACGTGTTGAAAACCATTTTGTTCTTATCACTCTCCACCAAATTGTTGAACGAAAAAAATTCCGTGAACGTGTTGTGCATATACGCATGCGTGTGTGTGAGAGAGTGTACTATACGGATATGAAGGCCAATTATAAAAACTGAAAAAGTCAATGAATTTTTGAATAATAAAATATACATTCATTTGATATTCATCGACACAGACATGGAAGAATTTCAAACTCGGTTGGTTGCCAATTAATCCAACATTCTACACTGATATTTTTCTTCTAAATGTTGTCATATAATTCTTAATTTTTTTCATATCAAAATATTTTAACATATTCATAACATAGTGGATATTGCTGAAAAAATCTATAATGCATTTAATCGGATACTTTAAAAAAAAAATAAAAATCATACACCCCTTATGTATTGTAATATTTTATATTTTATTAAGCAGTTGCAAGTTATTATTATATTCGTATCAAACAACCACATTTATGCAATTTTTTTACGTATAATTATAACCATATAAACATATAAACATAAAATATATAAATTTAAAAATAAACTAGAGTTTACATTTTCAATTAATTAAATAATAAATAAATAAATATAAGTAAAATAAACATAATCACGAGTAAGAATAAATCATAAATTAATTTGGTTACTAAATGACAAAATTTCCCTTCCCAATGTTTCACCACTTTGGTTGTATCCTTTATCACTGTTATGAGATTCAAGGCAGTGCAATTTGTAGGGCAATTTGGGCATATCAAGAGGTGGCTCATAGTATGATCATCTCCGCAGTAACATTTTGTGTCTTCTTGTATAACGCCCCACTTCTTAAAATTGTCTTTTGATCTTCCTACTCCCGTTCGTAGTCTGTTGAGTGTTCTTCATACTGGCCAATCGAGGTCATGTCCTGCAGGGAGGTGTTCTGATGTTGAGATTTTATCATCTTTAATATAGCCTATGGTTAATTTCCAGTAATCCAGCAATATTTTAGAATTTATCTTAACATAAATTATTAATTGTTTACGGATTTTGAAATATTTTATACTTATAAGAAATGCATAAACTTTTAAAATAACAATAACTATAATTGAATTAAAAACACAAAATCCTTTTAGTTAAATAATTATTAAATCAAAAGCATTTTAAATTGTATAGTTAATCATAATTATATTTATATAAAAATATAAAAAACTGCGTAATAGCATTTCATTGTGTAATCGTTGTGTTTTCAGACGTGCGGTTAAGCTTCCTGACAGTAAAATACTTGCTAAATAGTATAGTTTAATTGTTTTCAAAATACACTTATGGCCATTTTGTAAACATGGCGCAAAAATATTTTCAAAACACTGCAGTTATTATTACAAATGTATAAATTGTCTACACGTTTAGTTGTATATTGACTTTAAATGCGTTATTTACTTTTCGTTGGCAAAATATACGGTATGATATTCTTTTTCGAATGCCGTCGATTTTCATCGCTCATTTGTTTGCGTCAAAATGTGTGTTAAAGTGTCATTCAATGATTATCTGCATATTACGTATACGATTTGTTTTACTATAGGATATAATAGGGAATATATTTACACCTATGTATATATATATATTATTTAATCGCTAAACGTAAAAACGAATAATAATTAAAACGAATAGTTATTGGAAAATCACAGTGTATCGGAAGTGCTTAATATTGCCGATATGAATCCAAGTGAGTGTCGTATGAATCAGATGTCAGATTAAATATACCGACAGATTATTTAAAGTTGTCGAGTCATGATTGTTTGAGTGCAGTGATCGTAAAATGTCGCCGGAGGCTCAGCATTCATTTGTACCCGTCGAAAATTTCTCAACTTTCTTGGACAATAAATATAATCTACATACAACGTATAAATAAACGCATACGTATACTAAATTATGACCTTATCGAAATTTTAAATGAGGTCGAGTGTGTCAAGTAAATCATTTTGCGTTTTCCTAATGTTTTCGAATCGAAAGAAACACGTTGATTAATTGAACATATTATTACTATTATTATTATTATTATTATTATTATTATTATTAATATTTATTAACGTTGTTGTGTCTCGCAGGATCTTGGCGATGCACTAAGGGCGACCGCAGAAGACGCGTCCGATTGGTTGATCAGCGGCAACGGCCGGTCAAATTCTCACGTGGTACTACATGACCGTCTGATGACCGACGCGCTCTTGGGCAATGCCCCTATCAAGGCCGAACACTCGTATTGTACTACGCACGGGTCTAGGGAATCGTTGGACGCTATAGGTGAGTCACGTCGTCATCATAGTCGCACGTTCGTCGCCAGGTTTCGTAATTCGCTAAATAAGTTTGGCGTAATCGGTGCATTCCTCGCCGCATTCCTACGATAGACATGTTGAACAATATATATATATATGTATATTATAATGTTTATGTTATACGTATATACACTAATAATATAATGCAGCAAGAAGGACCGAGAAACCGTTTACGGTCGAAGAGGGGGTTACGGTCATGAGACATGGTAGAAAAAACCCGTTACATGTTCCACTAAAACGAAATAGCCATTTAATATAATATTGTATCCGTACATAGATGTTATATAATAATCATACAGCTAATATAGTAATACAGAAACGTATGTAGACTTTCATTAATTCCTCAAGCAAATATTAAATACCATAATTTGTGTACTTTAATTAAATGTATAGTAGGTGTACATATTGTGTACGCGCATGTAACCGTATTTGATGGTCTTACAGTAATCTCCTAGTCGAAAGTAGGCTCTGACCATCGGTTTTCGTGATGACGTAGAAAAGACATTTAGATTCTGTAATAATATACCGCATATTCATGGCGTTGACATTTTTTTTATTTATTTTTTTTTATGGAAATGTCATGCAGTTTATGGTAAGCGATCATCATAAATATAGATCTACCGAACGTTCGTATGTATGTACGTGAAGAAAATACGTTAACAATAGCGGTAAAAAAAAAAAAAAAAAATTTAAAAAAAGCTACAAAACCCATGCTCTCTAATTCTATGTATTCGAAAACCTGTTGCAAACACATCGAATGACATGTGCGATATAAATTTAACGTCACCGATATTTAACATTATTCTGTGACCTAATATTTAACGAGCGAATAACGTATGAACTAGGTATTATATTGCTAGGTGAATATTATTTTAAAAAATTGCATATACTATATACACCTACGTATATTCCAAACCAGGAATTATATTTAATATGAATTTTATTACATAAAGTAAGTTTGAGTTTATCTCCAAAGAATTATCCCTAAGTTCTTATTTATTTGAAATAACTTCACAGTTCCACAACTTTTATCTAAATTTATTCCATATTACTTTAAATATTAAAAAAAAAAAAAAAAAAAAATGGTATAAATCCAAAATCTCACTACATTAAGAATTTAGACTTAAATATAAGTATATATATATATATATATGTTTAAATAAATAATATTATATATTCAAATCTATTGTGTAAACTTAAAATTAAAACTAAAACATTTACTATGCATCAATCTAGTCATATATTTCCTATGTTGCTATTTTATTCTTATTATATAGATTTTATAAACCAAGATTATATAGAACTTCAAATTTTTATTTTATTGGATGTTAATGTTAGATTTAAAATGTTGAATTGTAAATTCTCAATGTTAAATTAACAAAAAGCATAACAATTTAAGTATCTAAAATTTTCCTAAGAATGACTTATTTTAATAATATTTAAAATAATATAATTATGTATTCGTGAATATCCAAAAATATAAAATAATAAATTCAAACATAATTATATCTTTTATCTTATACATTAATCAATATAAATTATTTACATTTTAAACTATCACCATTATACTTATCCATGTACTTACAATAATTCTATACAAAATATTGTTATTATTTGTTAATTTAAATCATAAAAATAGTAAACCGAATACGAATGCATTCTTATGGGACTTAATCGTAATACAATCGTGTTTACTATGATTTTTTGAATGAATACCATTTGGCTTTTGATAAATTAATTATGTATATTATGTCGATAAATTGTATATGAGAAATTTAGTTTACAATTTATCGACATACGAGAAATTACGAGAAATTTAGTTAGGTATGTATTCAACAAACTTTACAATGATTAACTCTTTAGTAAAAGTTATAAGGGGATAATAGTCTTAAAATTAGTGCACAACGAAACATTGATTGTTTGATCAAAAATTAAATTGTAATTTATGATAAATAATACCACAATTCGCATTTGTTTCAATACATGTATTATTACGGTTTACGTTTAATTATAAATAATTATTACTTATTACATTAATCTTTTAGATTTGGACGAAGACAGCAGTCAGGATGGAACTTGCAAACTTACGTTTGACGAAGTAAGGTGCGATCGTACGGGCAATATTGAAATGATAAGTATCAAAGACGACTCGATTTCCGTAAAAGACGAACCCATGAGTGACCAAGAATATGTCGAGACTTCTTCTTGTCCACCGTCACCGTGTTCTGCGATTGATGACACGCCCAGACATTATGGCAAGGTACAATGAAAACATTTCTGGTAGAATTTATAGTAACTAATTTAATTCGATAATTTTAGAATTTAAATCTATTAAGAATTTATACTGAAGAAATAACAATACCTTTAATTTTTATAACTTTTTATATTCTGTTTTTATTATAAACTAAAATGGATTTAATTAAATACTTATTGATAAGTGTATTTTATAATTAAGTTCTAAGCGAATATTTTTATGAAAAACTAGTATTTTCGTTAAAAGTTTTAATACAATTTGTTGAGGACGGTGTTTAACAGGTGTTTAATAGGTATTTAACATTATATAAACAATGAAAACTATTATTTTTTTGTTTACTAAAATTTCATAAATTAATCACGTAATATTATAAAAACACGATTTTAATTTAAAAATAGTAAAAACACAACATATATTGTAAATAGTACTTTAGTAAAAGATGAACTATAAAATATATCCTTGACCATGTTTTTAAAATATAACCTTGTACATTTTACCAGAATAAATTTCTAAGTAAAAATGTGTTAATAATAAATATCGTAAACTTGTAATAATTTTTAATTTTAATGATAATTTTATTGTTGATTATTAAATAGTTTTATTTTATAATGTAACAATATTTTTAGTTTGGAGATGTTTTAAGATAACAAAATGCAGAACAATAAAAGTATACCATAAGTAAATTTAAAGAAAAAACCCAATGCGACTGAATGAAATTATTCCAAATATAATAGTTCCAAGAAATATCGTTGAAAAATATAAAATGGGATATATATTGTGGCTTTATATATTATTAATTTACATATTTTATCATTTACTCATAACGGCTTCCATTAACCGTGGCAGCAATAAATAATACAACTATGACGTCATGTTTCCTGATGCTCGAGAGAACAGAATTTAACTGTAGAAAAAGTATGTCACGTTTAATACATTTTATAAAACTCATTAGTCGATCCAGATTAAATAGGTGTACGAGTATGTGATACAAAAAAAAAAAAATCAATTTGATCAGTTATATCTGCAAAACAAATCAATGCTTATAGACATTTTGCTTGTAATTTTATTATGTCTCACAACTATAGTAGTTACAGATCTATAACTAATTGATATTTATTTTACAATTATTTTCCATGATTTAAATTACGTATTTAATTTTTAATATTGTTTAGCACTTGCTAAACAACGCGATCGGATAAAATAAACATAAATTATAATGTTTAACAATTTCAAGGATATTATACTATTATTTTTCAATAGATTAGCGTTAAAATGAACTTTAAGTAACATTTATTTAATTCGAATAAAAATAAATTTTAAAGACTTCAGTAATTAATCGAATGCTGCAAGTGTATATGCACTATGGTACATACTAATTAATATTTTACTCCTTTACCACTTAATAAACAATATAATTCAATTATTCTTCAATTTTTTTTCTCTTTTATCTTATATATACTAATATAGATTATTGTGTATAATGTAATAATGAATCAGTGTTGTTTGGATTTTCCGTATTAATTAATACATAATGAAAACCCATACTGTTATCATTTATTTTTACTACCTATCTCAATACTCTACACAATACTCAATACTCTACACTCTAACAATAATAAAACCAAACACAACTAATTTATAAGTATTTATAATTTGTTTTTCATAATTAATCATTTGAATGAACACGGTGGATTTACTTTACTAGATTTATTATAAGTTAATGCATAAAATACAATTTTGATTTATTTGAATTAATTATATTTAAATTAAAAATAAAGATAAATTGTACGACTATAATATATTCATTGTATATGTAAAATAATAAATATTTTCTAAAACTAACTTTCTTATGTCACATTTAAATAATTATTTTAGTCATTATAATATTTGTTACATTAATTTAAGACATTATCACTTCATTATGTAGGTTAATGTGAGTTATATTTATACACTCTTAGCTTAATATAAAATTAAGCATATAAAGTTATTTACCATTCTATTTTTCTAGATCTATATCCGACATTAAGACTACAAACCTGTCTTGTTCGATTTCACTTTTATACGATATTAAATTATATGATTCATTAATTACAATATAACCCATAGTCATATATTTTAAAACATACATTGAAAATTCTTTGATAAATTATGATACTACTATATTGAAATTTAAAATATATTAGGGTTAATATTGCTAATTATTAGGTTATTTATTTACAGATTTGATATGCAAAAAATATACTAGTTTTGTGATAATATATAGGTTTTAAATATCTATGTTTTTCTTTAAAGTTAAACACATTATGCGTAAATTAAAACAAATGTTTTTGTAAAATATGTTTTTTGAACACCTATAAATTATGGAAATGTGTGTAAAATAAATTTGAATAAATTATTTCTTTACTAAATGTAAATTAATCTATTAAATATTTTCTAATTTAACAAAAATATTTTTTTTTATTTATATACACACATATATATATATATATATAGAAATTAATGGATTTTAGTGTGATAAAAATGAAAATAACTTTTATATTTATCATATTGTATGTTCTTAGATATATAAATATTATATATATATATATATATATATATTATATATATTATATATATTATATAAATATTTTGATTTCATTTAGAATTCTTACAAATATTTTTAATAAAACAAAGTTTATCATACGACAAACTATAGTTAGAAAATAAACACCTAATAATTGTTTTCAATTATATATGTGTAGAATTGAGCATCTTTACCCGTTCATCTAAATTTATAATATTATATATACATGTTTATTGTACATGTTTTTTTATAATTACAAAATAAGTTTTATCAATGAATTTCAATAATGTTGCAAATTTGTCAGAATCTTTTTTTTCACTGCCACTTCATACACTAGCTGTAATTATTTAATGTTAACAATTAAATTTAAAAATAAAAATAAAAATTATGTTATAGGTACAAAAAACCAGTTGCAACGAACCCACCACCGTTGTGTTGACCTCAAGAGCTTTCCTCAACCAACCACATAGATTAATCGTACCAAACTTCAGTTTAAAAATGGATGGCACAGGTAAAACAGTTAAACAATTAAAACAATATAACGCACAATGGCGCACATAGGATTTTTTTTCGAGGGGGGAGATCAAGGTAAAAATATAACACATTTTAAAATTAACAAAATTATGCAAATTCTTTACATATTTTGACTTAAATAAGAGCATTGATAATAGATTAGACTATTCTATAATCAATGTTACTAGGTATTTAATACTAGTTCTTTATATTTGAAACTTGTAAAATTTGTAAATTTTAACCTAGACATCAGAGAACATTTCGAGGGGGGGGGGTTACAACCCCTTTCCTCCCTGTGTGCGCAACTGATAACGCATATATATATATGTACTCACCAGATAGACCAGACTACACACACGCGCGTGCGTTTGCGGTTACTTTTGTGGATAGTGGAAATTTAACAAGAACGATAAATATTTATACTCTTGCAAACTATTACATCACAAATACTCTGTAAACTAATACACATACACAAACTTACATGCAAGCGCTCAGACACAAATGATATTATGCTATTATATTTTTATTTTTTTTTTTTTGTGAAAACGTGTATGTAACCGTAGTATGTACTTTTTTTATTTCTTAGGTTTTACACTGCCACCTACGCCACCTTCGTCTACGTCCAGCGACAGCGAGGGCGGTAACGTATCGCCGCACCACCGATCGTCGCCCACACGGCGGTTATTCCTGTCGTCATCGGCGACCACCAGCAGTCGGCAGCCTATACAGACACCGTTGATCAGCTGTCAGCCAAAAGGTTCGACTGGTGCGCTGTTGCTCACCGAAGAGGAGAAACGTACCCTGCTTGCTGAGGGCTACCCTGTCCCCACAAGGTTGCCATTAACCAAGGCCGAGGAGAAATCGCTGAAGAAAATCCGCAGGAAAATTAAGAACAAGGTAACGAGAGCTGCGCCAATGCGAGTAACGTGCGAAATAACATTTGTTTCGTTGTTGCGCTGCATGAAAAGCGATATTTTTGGGCTTTAACTACTATTGTTCCATGTGGTAGTGTGTTCACAATCGGTATAGTGTATCTATTTATCGGTCTTGTTTTTTTTATCGTATACAGATATCGGCGCAAGAAAGTCGACGCAAGAAGAAGGAATATATGGATTCGTTAGAGAGGAAAGTCGAAATTCTCGTTTCTGAAAACAACGAGTACAAAAAGAAAATCGTCAACCTAGAAGAAAGCAACGGGTCTCTAGTTCAGCAGTTGCAGAAGTTACAGAAATTACTCGGACTGCAAGCAACACAAATTGTAAGTTTGTAAAAACTGGCAATTTTTATTATAATTTTTAAATTTTTTACGGTCCATAAATCATCATTCATACCTTTGTAAACAATTTAGGAATGTAGGAACGGGCACGATGGGTTTTCGGAATTATTACTACTCACATGGTTATCGGGTGGTTGAAGATTTATTTTTAGGCGTATCAGATAGGCAATATTAATGCATACGTGTGGTTATTCTCCAATGGAAAACGATTAAAAAAGTAGAGATGTTAAGCTCTGTAGATTTTTTAATGTCTGAACACAGTTTGTGTTAATTCAGTTTCTAGTAGAAACTTCAGTTGTTTTTCACTCTACATTTTTCTTAAAAAATTAATTAAATATCGATTTTGTATTATGTGAATGATAAATATTTTTCATGTATAATTGATATAAACAAAAAAATAATAAATAAAACAATAATTCATGTTAATCGTGTTTCAGAGTCAATAACTGATAACTAAATCATTTCGTAATTACCAGTGGGGTAAATTGTACATAACAACCAATGGTGAGTAATCGAAAAATAATGAACCGAAAATAAAGAAATTGTTTTTATTAGAGTAGGTTCTAGATGTACTAGCGCCATCTACTATTCGGATATTGTTCTAAATGTACTGATATATTTTTATACTCAGAGAGGTCAATTTTCTAATGACGATGATCGCATTTCGTATGTCCTATGATCATTTAAAATAATCACATCAATCATAATAATATTTTGTCCTTGGGCAAGCATACGTTTCTTTCCACTGATTGATACTCATTTGCATTATGCAGATGTATTGTGAAATAATTATTGTGGCTGAAAACTGAAATGTTATCATTGCTTTTTTTTTTTTTTTTGTTTTTCAGGTGCAAATGTAATATGTTTAAGAATTTTAGTTCAATGTTGACAGCTAGTCCGTGAAATTACCAAATGCATTTCTGTTGGTGTTCAATGTTATTCACAATTAACAATAACACCGTGTACGATGATTATCGCATTGATTTAAAACGGATTAAGAATTATTACTATTTCGTAATAATTTGAGATAAGCCTAATTTTTGAAATCTGGCCAACGTCTCCGTTACAGAATTTTGAGTCACGGTCAATGGTGTATATAATATTAAATATCTCTTAATTTATGTATTTATATATTTACATAATTATATAATTCTGTATAAAAGAAGAAAAATGACTGACGAAAAACACCAATTATTGGATAAAAGTAATGTTTTGTTATTGGTACGTATAAATGTATAGTAATAAATCAAAAATAATTAACTTTTAATCTCATTATTAATTGCTGTAAGTGCCAAAATTATATCTTATATTACGTTAATGTATATATTTTTTTATTTTTTAAAACGCTTGTCTCTGTGTAACCTGCCACGTATATATTATATGCTACAGACGTAATATTTTCTCCATGTTATATACATTTTATAAATCAATAAACAAACAATATTGTTAAGGAGTATTTTTTTCCTAGAGTAATTATTATCATACGTTTATAATGCATTTTTTGTGTGTGTCTAAGTGGATAAATTAAATTAATTATATATATATTTATATATCGAATTGTACATAGTATATTTATATATTCAATTGATTTTGTTGTTAACTTAAAATATATATTTTATAGTTAAATTAGTTAAATTTTAAATATTATAACAACAAATAAATAATTAATTATTTTGTTTTAGAAAATATTTTTGTATAAAAGACACTCATATGCATTTATATTTATATATATATAAATTCACATATGAATGTGTTTATATACGTATAAGATGGAAGAGCGTCGTGTACGAGTATTTCTCTCAGTG